AATAGCCTTCATACTTTTGTATATTTATACAAAGTTAGCTTATTGCTCCTACAATCTGGGTCCTCATTTTACCTACCTTAGAACGGATGGACGGCTGAGTCAACCTTGAGCCTGGTGAGATTTGAACTTGCAGTAATTGCAGGCAGCTGATGTTAATAACAGTGCTTTAGTCTGCTGCGCTACCAGGGCTCCTTTGACCTTGGATTTGTTGAATAGAAAGGTTTGGTGTTACAGAAATGACTAGTTATATATTATTGGGTAAAAGCAAAAAGTTGAAGTGGGAATATGTTTATCTTGTACTGTGCTAATAAGAATTGGAAGTCAATGCCCCCTTTCCTTTCTTTTTCTCTTTCCCCTTGTATCTCACACCCCCTTTTCCCTGCTCCCTTTCCCTCCCTTAATTTCCTATTTTCATTTCTTCTTTGTATTTTATATAATAAAATAAAAAATGATGACTTGAAAAAGCAGGAAAATAATCCGAGTTGTATGTGCTTTGAACGTAGCCCATGCTGAATTCTAGCACAATCAAACACGGACACAGGAAATATTTTACGATATTTGGTATGATGTTATAAACTGCTTTATGATAAACATGTCGGGACGCGGTGGCTCAATGGCTAAGACGCTGAGCTTGTCGATCGAAATGTCGGCAGTTCAGCGGTTCGAATCCCTAGTGCCGCGTAACGGGGTGAGCTCCCGTGACTTGTCCCAGCTTCTGCCAACTTAGCAGTTCGAAAGCACGTAAAAAATGCAAGTAGAAAAATAGCGACCACCTTTGGTGGGAAGGAAACAGCGTTTCGTGCGCCTTTGGCATCGAGTCATGCTGACCACATGACCACGGAGACGTCTTCGGACAGCGCTGGCTCTTTGGCTTAGAAATGGAGATGAGCACCGCCCCCTAGAGTCGGGAACAACTAGCACATATGTGCGAGGGGAACCTTTACCTTTACCTATGATAAACATAAACGTCATAAAATATTTTATGAAATCTATGAAATTTCAATTCCACAAAAGTCATGGATCCTGGACTTTTGGCCTCGTTGTGTAAATTAGCCCATTTGAGGTGCCCCGGTTGAAAAAATTTTGTCTCACCATGCATTATTTTGCTTCACTTAAAGGTGACAAGAATCAGACTTTTAGTGGTATATAAATTGTGCGGAAGGGCATTCTAATCTGATTCTAATTCTACAAGGATTTGTTGCGTTGTGGAGAGTACAAGTGTCTCTTTCCGCTTCCTTTGCCAGATTTTTTTTGTGTGCCTTCTCTCCCGCTGTGCAAAGATTAAAGGAAGTCAATCTCTCTTAATAGGGAGGGAGATAATATATGCCAGATCACAAATGTGCTAGGAGCTTTATTTAAAAAAAAAAAAAAAGAATAACAAGGACATCTAGGAATGGGATAATTAGCAACATTAACAAACTGGGCCAGAAATAAAAAATAAAAAATCCCTGGAGGAAATGCTTCAACCCCAAACGACAATTCAAGTTTAAAATTGATCTGTTGACAGATTAGGTGGAAAGATAACAAACCAGTATTTATTTATTTATTTATTTATTTATTTATTTATTTATTTATTTATTTATTTATTTATTTATTTATTGGTTCGATTTATCTGCCGCCCTTCTCCGGAGACTCAGGGAGGCTTACAATGTGTTAAGCAATCGCCTTCATACTTTTGTATATACCTGCTTAGTAGGGCTTTCGGCCCCCTCCTAAGCGGTGTTCTTTTTTATACAAAGTCAGATTATTGCCCCCACAAACTGGGTCCTCATTTTACCTACCTCGGAAGGATGGAAGGCTGAGTCAACCTTGAGCCTGGTGAGATTTGAACTCACAGTAATTGCAGGCAGCTGGCAGCTAAGTGCTACTTAACAGCACTTTAGTCCGCTGCGCCACCAAGGCTCCTCCTATGAATGTTGGGGTTCCAAGTAATACCCCCAATGCAACTAAGGACTAAGAAGACTAAATCCTATCTAAAATGGTATCCGAGCAGCCCCGATTTCCTAATTATCTTCATTCTCATTTCAATTTCTTATTCAATTATTATTTACTTTTTATTTCATCATTTGCATACAAATATAAAAAGGGAAACAACAGGAGAGAGGGGAAGGAGTAGAGAGAGAGGAAGGGTAAAGAGAGGAGAGGAGGAAGAAGAAAGGGAAAAGGAGAGGAAGAAGAGGGAGGGGAAAGAGGAGTAGAGGAGAAGGTTAGAAGGGGGGAACAAGAGAGGAGTGGGGGGAAGAGAAGGGGAAGTAGGAAAGAGAAGAAGAGGAAGAAAGAAGAAAGTAGGAGGAGAAAGGGGAAGGAAGAGAAGGGGAGGAGAAAAAGTTGGAGTAAAGGTAAAGGGTAAAAGAGCAGCCCCGAAAAAGAAAAATGAAAAATGAAAGTTAAAAGAAAAAATGAATGAAAAATGATGGAAATGACTGTACATGTAAATGTGTTTATGAAAAATAAAAATAAAAAACTTTTTTTAAAAAAGAAGACTAAGTCCTCCTAAGGCAGGACTCGAACTCACCATCTCCTGGTGATTGGCCCAAAGTCACCCCCTGGCTATCGTGCTTAAGGTGGGACTAGAACTCACAGTCTCCTGGTTTCTAGGCCAGCATCTTAACCACTACACCAAACTGTAACATTTTCACGGGTAGAGGTATGCAAGTTTTGGTGTATTCGGGTCTTTTTCCGTGTAAGATTGAGAGTATCTTGGTGACGTTTCGACGAGGTCTCACTCGTCATCTTCATGCTTGCGTGAGGAAAGCGTGATCGGAACTGCCGTTTCTCTATAAATACTGGTGGGGAGTGTGGGGTGCTGACTTTGTTGCTGTGAGTGGGTTGGTTGCCTGTGTTGTTACATCTTGATTAGTTGATGGAGTTGATGTTTGCAGATTAGTCAGCTGTTTCGTAACATCCAGAGAGGAGAATGATTCCAGAAAGAAAAGCTGAACAAAATCCTCCTTATAACCGCTAGAGACTAAAATGTCCCTTTACAGCTGCATTTATAGATTTTTAAATACACTTTCATAAGCAAAAATGAATGCAAAGAGAATTAAAAGTTGGGTGAGCTAAATACTTAGGTACATTTTACACCCGCTTCTCTCTACAAATAACCCTCTTCAGAAAAACCAGAATTCTGGTGGAAATTACACGTTAGATCTTTTGTTCAGCAAAAAATAATTGTGCTGAAACGTACAGATAGTCCTCAATTTACGACCACAATTGAGTCCAAAAATTCTGTGGCTCAGTGAGCTTTGCCCCATTTTACGACTATCTTGCTACAGTTGTTAAGTGAATCACCGCAGTTGTTACAGTAAGTTAGTAACACCGTTGTTAAGTGAGTCTGGCTTCCCCACTGACTTTGTTCGTCAGGAGGTCGCAAAAGGGGATCACATGACCCCGGGACACTGCAACCGTCATAAATATGAGTCAAATTGCCAACTTTGATCATGTGACCATGGGAATGCTGCAATGGTCGAAAGTGTGAAAAATGGTCATAAGTCACGTTGACCCCGGGATGCTGAAACCGAAATATGAGCCAGTTGTAAGGGGTCCATAGTTTGATCACGTGACCATGGGGATGTTGCAACGGTCGTAAATGTGAAAAATAAGTCGCTTTTTTCAATGCCTTTGTAACTTTGAATTTGACTTACAACTATTGGTCATTAAACGAATGGTCGTAAGTCAAGGATTACCTGTATTATGAAAAAATTACAGCGAGACATGAAGATGTAATCCAGTGCAGAACTTATAATGATCACTAGAGGGGAGCAAAGGAACAGAAAACACTCACTCTGCTGCTCTCTAGTGAATGTCTGGATTTTTACAGCCCGTTTAAAAATCTCTCTGAATCAGTTATCTTCCATTGCATTTTAATCTTGGGTGATTTTCTAGGACCGGGATGGCAAACCTGTGGCACAGGTGGCACACGGAGCTGTATCTGTGGGCACGTGAGCGTTGCCCTAGCTCAGCTCCAGTGCGCATGCGAGCACCAGCCAGCTGATTTTTGGGCATTCCAGTCCCACCAGAAGTTGGGAAACGGGCCGTTTCCGGCCTCCGGGTGGGTGGGGATGGCTGTTTTCCCCCTCCCCAGGCTCCAAGAAGGCCTCTGGAGCCTGGGGAGGGCGAAAAACCGGCCTACCTGGCCCATGTCAAAAGCGTGGGGAGCGTGGTGGGGTCATGCACAGGGGGGCAGGGCACTTTGAATTATGGGTGTGGACATGTGCACACATGACCCGCCCCCCTCCCCACTCTCCCCATGCTTTTGGCACGCAACGGCAAAAAGGCTAGCCATCACTGTTCTAGGATAATTTTGGACTTAGACTTTGACTCCTAGAATCCCCTAGCAAGCGTACTGGCTGAGGAATTCTAGGAATTGAAGTCCACGCTCAGGTGGGGAAACACTGCTCTAGAAAGTATTGGGATAGGGATGATTAGTTTAGCCAATGCTTGCCTCTGGCCAGAGGTGCTAACCTTTTACTCATCGAGTGCCAAACAGATCCGTGCTTTGCGCACTTTGCGCATGCTTACCATCCATGCCAATGTGCGGCTCCTCCCCCATGCGCTGTGCGTGCAACCACACCATCTGTGCATGCTCACAGATTTCACGCATGCACCCCACCGTGCGCTGTGCGCAATTGCACCATCTCTGCATGCATATGGTTTTCACACACATGCAACGCACACGTGCGAACGCCATTTGCACATGCTGCGCACCAGTACTCTCGTGCACATGCGCAAACACACACGCATGCTCAGGAGAGCCCCGAAGACCAGCTAGGTTCCCTGAATCACACACATGCGCACTGGAAGCCCGAACACCAGCTGGGGCGCGTGCGCATGGTCAGCTGCAGGTGAGTTGGGCGACAGCTCGCGTGCCCGGAAAAATGGTTCAGCGTGCCACTTCTGGCATGCTTGCCATAGGTTCGCCGTCACGGCCTTAGGCCGTATTTAGCTAATTCTCTCTTAAATTCTTTGTATAAAGAAAACAAAAGGGATTTTTTTACTCTGACAAGCTTTTCCGAATCGCCTCTCCATTTGCTGACAATGGTGGATGCGGAGATGTTGAAGAATGTTGTGTTACATTCAGTGGCAACAGCTTTAGCCAGCAAAGTTTTCCCAGTACCTACAAGTTGAAGGAAAGGCAGTGTTTACTCTCAAGCCATAAAACGTATGAAGCACAGTTGCAGAAATTGGGTCTGTCTCAGGGGTGAAATGTAAAATCTCTTACTACCTGTTTCTGTGGGCGTGGCTTGGTGTGGGGGGGTGTAATGTGACTGGTGGGCGTGGCCAACTTTTTTTTTTTTTTTAACTTTTCAAAGCATTTTTTCTAATGCTTTGAAAAGCCTCTCTGCCGATCAGGCAACTCAGCTGGGATCGTCAGAGACTTTTCAAAGCATTTTTTTACCACCTCTTCGGCCAAGAGGTTGCAGAAAAAAAATGCTTTGAAAAGCCTCTGATATCCCAGCTGAGCCACACGATCATCAGAGGCTTTTTTTTTTTTACTTTTAAAAGCATTTTTTTCATCGGAAGACGTAGAAAAAATGCTTTTAAAAGTAAAAAAAAAAAAGCCTCTGATGATCGCGCGGCTCAGCTCGGCATGGTGGGGGGGGGGGGCAGGGATTTTTGCTACTGGTTCTCCGAACCACCCACCACCATGCTACCAGATCGGGCGATCCGGTCCGAACTGGAGCCTTTCACCCCTGGTCTGTCTAGTCTAGACATACTTTTCTTGACAAGAAGGACCAGGGGTGACATGATAGCAGTCTTCCAGTATCTCAAGGCCAGCCCCAAAGAAGAGGGAGTCAAGCGATTCTCCAAAGCACCTGAGGGCAGGACAAGAAGCAACGGGTGGAACTAATCAAGGAGAGAAGCAACTTAGAACTAAGAAGAAATTTCCTGACAGTGAGAACAATTAATCCGTGGAACAACTTGCCTCCAGAAGTTGTGAATTTTGATCCCATGACCATGGGGACGCTGCAGTGGTCATAAGCATGAAAAGGAGTCATATAAGGCACTGTTTTCAGTGCCGTTATAACTTCAAGCGGTCACTGACTGTTGTAAGTCAAGGTCTCTTTCATTAAGGAGATTGTTGGCATTCAGAATGAAAAAGAGTCACAAAATTTAATTAAATAATATCATACCTGGAGGCCCATATAGCAGAAGTCCCTTCCAAGGAGAAAGAATGCCTGTAAACAACTGTGGGTACTGTGGAAAAAAGAAGAAAATGAAAAAAGCCATCACTAAAAAACCGGCTGTTTGGAGCATTAAGCACACAGCAGGTTACTCTAGCACAGGGGTGTCAAACTCAAGGCCCGGGAGCCAGATCCGGCACGCGGGGTGCTTAGTTCCGACCCGCAGAGCCACCCTAGAAAGAGCAAAAGATTGGCCTGTGGTGCCTCTGCCAGCAAAAATGGGCTCCCGAGCTCAGTTTTTGCTGGCAGAGGGTTGCAGGAGGCCATCCCAGCCGAAAATGGAGCTCGGGAGCCCATTTGCGCTGAGAGAGTCCTCGGGCCACCGCAGGCGCTCCCCGACACGAGTGACATCAAGCTGGCCACACCCACCCTGGCCACGCCCCCCCCAGCCCCGAGGTCAAATACAACCCTGATGTGGCCCACAATGAAATCGAGCTTCACACCCCTGCTCTAGCAACTCAACCAGCATTTTTTTTTTTAATCAGAACATTGCTACAAGGAAAATATAGGAAATCAGGGTGGCTGATTCTGTATTTTTCACTTTTATTCATTTAATGTCCCCCCCCCTTTGGAACATCAAGCTCATTGGTAGATTTTATTTATTTATTTGATTTTTTTAGCCCGTTTTTTAGGACTAGAACTCGCTGACTCCCACTTTCTAGCCTGATGCCTTCGACACGAGACAAAAACGACTCTCAAACCAGTCCTCAAGTTAATTTTCCTTCCTTTCAAATTGCTTCCCAATTTAAGTCGTATTTTCAAAATCAGCAACGGTAGCTTGGAAAGGAAAAAAAAAAAAGATTACAGATAGTTCTCAACTTACAACTATTTGTTTCCCGACTGTTGTAAAGTTACAACGGCACTGAAAAAAGTGACTTACGACTGCTCTTCGCACTTGCAACCGTCATATCATCTGTGCTGTCACACGATCAAAATTTAGGAGTTTGGCAATTGGCATGTATTTACAACTACGGTAGGACAATGTCCCAGGATCATGTGATCATCACTTGTAACCTTCCCAGATGGCTTCTGGTGAGCAAGTCGATGGGGGAAGCCAGATTTGCTTAACGACCATGTGATTCACTTAGCAACTGCAGTGACTTGTATAACAATCGTGGCATCAAAGCAGTGGTGGGTTTCAAAAATTTTTACTACTGGTTCTGTGGGCGTGGCTTGGTGGGTGTGGCAGGGGAAGGATACAGTAAAATCTCCATTCCCTTCCCAATCCAGGGGAAGGTGACTGCAAAATAGATGGATGTTGTGGCCCGTCAGCAGCCTGTGCAGATAGTAGCTGATTCCAACAGCGAGGAGGCTGGTGTGGTGCTGTGCCAGCAGCCTGTGCAGCTGGCACTCGAGTCGGACAGTGAGGAGGCTGGAGAAGATGTGGTGCCAGAGGCAGAGATTCAGCTAGGGCCTTCAGAACCTCCAGAAGCTCCCTTAAGTGAAGAGGAAGAAGAGGAGGAGCCTCTTCTCGATGCATGGGCGCGCAGAGCTGCCAAAAGGCAGGAGTGGCTCCTCAGGAGGAGGTCTCCTCGAGAGTAAGGCTTGGGGCTAATTGGTCACTCCCTTAGCCTATTTAAGGAAGGACGATGACTGAGGCAATTTGCAGGGAACAACTTAGTTCACTCTCCTTCGTGTCTTGATCTTAGTTCTTTTATCAGTTATCTGCAAATTGCTTCTGGGCTTTCTGCCAATCCTAGTAAAATTACGATGTTTATTCTTTGGATTCTTGTAGGCTGTTAAGAAAGTTAATTAACAGCCTTTGTTTGAAAAAGACTGATTTAATTTAGTAAACTAAGGTTTGTACAGACTTTGTGTGTGCTGCGTTCTTTGGGGTCCGTAGCTGGGGCAGAACAATGGGGGCGGGCCAGTCAGAATTTTTACTACTGATTCTCCAAACTACACAAAATTTCCAGTACTGGTTCTCCAGAACTGGTCAGAACCTGCTGAAATCCACCTCTGCAACAAAGGTTGTAAAATCAGGTGTGACTCACTTACAGCTGCCTTGCTTAGCAATGTAAATTTGGGGCCCCAACTGTGGTCGTACGTCGAGAACTACCTGTACAGGTAGTCCTTAGCATACAATCACAATTGAGCCCAGAATTTCTGTGGCTGAGAAATTTCTTTAAGGGAGTTTCGCTCCATTTGATGACTTTTCTTTCCACATTTGTTAAGTGAATCACTGCGGTTGTTAAGTTAGTGACCCGGTTGTTAAGTGAATCCGGCTTCCCCGTTGACTTGTCGGACCTTCTGAAAAGATGACCACATGACCCTGGGACACGGCGACCATAATAAATATGAGCCAATTGTCCAGCATCCGTACCTAAATCATACAACCATGGGGGATAAAACAGTGGTCGGTCGTAAGTGTGAAAAATAGCCCTAATGTCCCTTTTTTCAGTGCCGCTGTAACTCCCAACCATCGCTAAATGAACTTGCTGCAAGTCGAGGACTACCTGTGTGTCTCAGCCACGAGAACAGAGGCCATTTGTGTGACTTTTGAAAAGGTGGTTCAGCCGCTCCTTACCCTGATGGGATACACAACAGCTTCCTTGACCAACCGCTTGGCTGAGTCAAGTCCGATGATGCAATTCCACTTGACATTGGGGCTGTGAAGGTAGATATCCTGCAAGACATGGTTTGATCTTCTTAAAAAGAAGAAGAAGAAGAAGAAGAAGAAGAAGAAGAAGAAGAAGAAGAAGAAGAAGAAGAAGAAGAAGAAGAAGAAGGAGAAGCTACTTTCCCTGAGCTACTGGTGTACAGTCATTTGATAAGGACAGATCGGGGCATGTAACAAAAGGTTGGCCAGACACATCTTCCTCCTCGACTTGCCTTTCAGCTCCTTGAATCTTGTTTTCCATTTTTGAACCTAACCGTCAATCCAGGTGTCATAGCAACTGAGCATTCATGGCTGAACCTTCTTCTGTATGGATAGCGCACTTCAGCACACGCGGAGCAAGCGCCCTCATCTGTGAGCATCAAATATATTAAGAACATATCAACGATCAAGTAGCCCTGGCAACTGAAGATTGCACTTGAAACGTTGAAAGGGAAAGCGGGTGGAGGATTGTTAAGGAAAGAAATAAAAGAAAAACGTTGCCATTGCTTACCACCTGGAAGTGCCGTTGTTGTTGTTTTTTAATTTTATTTTTGTTCTGCCTTTTCCCTTTTTTCTGTCATGCTTCTCGCACAAATACCCTCAGCGAAGTTTCTCAATGCTATATGGTGGAATATATACTGTATGAATATATTATGGAATATATATAATATATTGTGGAATATATATGTGGAACCCACACTGCATATCGGACATTAATCCAATTGAGCGAGTCCAGAAGTATTTCATGAGAAGAGTCCTCCACTCCTCCGCTCACAACAAAATACCTTACGATACCGGACTTAAAATCTTGGGCTTAGACAACTTGGCCGCCTTCGGTCTGATCTAAGCGTAGTACACAAAATTATCTGCCACAATGTCCTACCTGTCACTGACTACTTCAGCTTCAACCGCAACAATACACGAGCACACAATAGATACAAACTCAAGGTGAACCACTCCAAACTCGATTGCAGAAAATACGACTCCAGCAACAGAGTGGTCAATGCCTGGAATGAACTACCTGACTCTGTGGTTTCTTCCCCAAACCCCCAAAACTTTAACCTTAAACTCTCTACTGTTGACCTCACCCCATTCCTAAGAGGTCTGTAAGGGGCGTGCATAAGCGCACCAGCGTCTCTACCGTCCCTGTCCTACTGTCCTCATTTATTCGTATCCATTCCATGTATTCATAACCATGTTTATACCTATATCTGTTATCTAATACGTGCTTGATCAAATAAATAATTTTTAAAAAACTAAATATATATATATATATATCCATCCCTGATCCACTTAGAACAGGGGTCTCCAAACTTGACAAGACTTTTAAGACTTCAACTCCCAGAATTCCCTAGCCATCATTTTAAGAAGAGATTGGACAACCATTTGTCTGAAATGGTAGAGGGCAGCGGTGTCAAACTCGATTTCATTGAGGGCTGCATCGCGGTTGTGTTTGACCGTGGGGAGACAGAGTGAGCGTGGCCAGGGTGGCCGTGGCCAGCTTGACGTCACTCATGCTTGTGGTGGCCCGAGAACTCTGCCAGAAAAAACAGGCTCCTGAGCTCCGTTTTCGGCTGCGATGGCCTCCTGCAACCCTCTGCCAGCGTAAACGGAGCTCAGGAGGGCTGCACGCAACCCTCATGGGCTCCATTTTCGGCTGCGATGGCCTTCTGCAACCCTCTGCCAGCTCTGTTTTTGCTGGCAGAGGTACCCTGATAGGGTTTTTTGTTGGGACAAGGAGTCTGCTTCATGCTATTGGGAAGCCTAGGTTGGAACACAGCCCATAGATTTCCACTGCTCTCCTCTCCTCTGCCTTCTGCGCATCTGCACGTCAGGCACTGGACCCAGCTGTTCCTCCTCCTCCTCATCAGCCACCTCCAGACCTGGGGGCTGTTTGACTCTCCATCTGAGGACTGATGGATGACCCAGGCGCCACCTCTGTCTCTCTCTCTCTGACAGCTCCATTCCCTCTTCCCGCTCGGAGCTCTCAGGTTGCTTGGATGCTGGCCCTGACTCCCACCCCACCTCCTCATCTGATTCGACTGCCAGAGGAGTCAGAACACAAGCAGTAGTTTTGGTTCATGGATCATCTAATGAACATCAATTAGACAGGCGGAACATGTTCAGAATCACTAGCTAAGCAATGTTCTAGAATGCAAGATTCATATTTGTTTTAATTAATGATCACCCACTCACCCACCCATCGCCTCCAAAGCTCATCAATACAGATCGTCCTCCAGTTAGAACAATTCATTTAGTGACTGTTCAAAGTTCAAAGTTGCAACAGCACTGAGAAAAAAGTGACTTCCGGCTGTTTTCACAGTTACAACCTTTGCAGCATGCCCATGGTCATGTGATCAAACTTCAGACGCTTGGCGACTGAATAGAATAGAATAACAGAGTTGGAAGGGACCTTGGAGGTCTTCTAGTCCAACCCCCTATTTAGGCAGGAAACCCTATAGCATTTCAGACAAATGGTCATCCAACATCTTCTCAAAAGCTTCCAGTGTTGGAGCATTCACAACTTCTGGAGGCAAGTTGTTCCACTGATTAATTGTTCTCACTATCAGAAAATTTCTCCCTAGTTCTAAGTTGCTTCACTCCTTGATGAGTTCCATCCTTTGCTTCTTGTTCTATCCTCAAGTGCTTTGGAGAATGGCTTGACTCCCTCTTCTTTGGGGCAGCCCCTGAGATATTGGAAGACTGCTGTCATGTCTCCCCTAGTACTTCTCTTCATTAAACTAGACATACCCAGTTCCTGCAACTGTTCTTCATATGTTTCATCCTCCAGTCCCCTAATCCTCTTTGTTGCTCTTCTCTGCACTCTTTCTAGAGTCTCCACGTCTTTTTTACATCGTGGCGACCAAAACTGGATGCAGGATTCCAAGTGTGGCCTTACCAAGGCCTTACAAAGTGGTATTAAACACTTCACGTGATCTTGATTCTATCCCTCTGTTTATGCAGCCTAGAACTGCTTCGCACTTGTGACCCGTTGCAGTGTCCTGGGGGTCACGCGATCCCCTTTTGCGACCTTCTTATAAGCAAAGTCAAAGGAGAAGCCAGATTCACTTCACAACCTTGTGTGACTAATTTAACAACCGCAGTGATTCCCAGGAAAAGTCGTAAAATGGGGCAAAACTCACTGAACAAATTTTTCACTTAGCAACATAAATTTAGGGCTCGATTATGGTCGCACATCGAGGACTATCTGTAGGTTCTGGATTCCAACAGATGTTTAGCCCCAAATGTTCCCGAAATCAACAATTTTATTTTAAAGGAGACTGATGTAGAAAAATCCCAGCCTGCAAAACAATTTGGATTGCATGCTCTTTTCTAACAGGTTTTCTTTATTTGGTATTTCACCTCAGCAGTTTCCCTTTTCTTTCAAGAATCTTCCTTCATTATATTAATAGGGGGTTTATCTCCTACAAGCCGTGATCTTTTTGCAGTCAATTAACAGCAAAGGCAAACTGATAATGAGAACAATACGCAGGATCTTCACCGGCTCCCAATCTACAGTGAGCAAGGGTTGGTTATCTCTTTTGCCTTCCTGACATCAGATGATGGCTTATGATTTTGAACAAAGAGGATGGAGAATGAAAGAAAGAGAGAGAGAGAGAAAGAGAGATTGGAGGATGAGACATTGATACAGTTGTGATACAGGCAGTGTAGGAGGCTAAAACATATAAAGAACGGTTGGAGGAACTGAATATGTCTAGTTTAATGAAGAGAAGGACTAGGGGAGACATGATAGCAGTCTTCCAATATCTCAGGGGCTGCCACAAAGAAGAGGGAGTCAAGCTATTCTCCAAAGCACCTGAAGGCAGGACAAGAAGCAATGGGTGGAAACTAATCAAGGAGAGAAGCAACCTAGAACCAAGGAGAAATTTCATAACAGTGTGTTGGAAGAAATATCCATCTGGTTCAGTTCTAAGCTGGCAGAAAGGCACCAGAGACAAAATGGAGGCTGGAGGCTGGTGTTGTAGTCCGGCGGCAGCCAGCAGAGCTGTTGTGGCTCCGACCCCCGAGCCCATCTTATCGGAGGAAGAAGGCTCCGAACATGAAGGAGAGGAGCCGGCCAGGCCTCCCTCTCCAGGCCCCTCCTCTCTGGCAATGCCTCAGGTGTCTGCCGAGGGAGAGGAGATTGGCCAGGAGCCAGGTGTCTCCGATGACAGCAATGACGGTGATAAGTCGTTCCTGGATCCACGCCAACAAAGGCAAGATAAACGTTTGCAGCAGATGAGGAGGCGTGCCAGGGATTAAGCTGAGTCACTGGACCACACCCCACAGGCTATATAAGAGAGTGTGGTGGCCATTTAGACTCTGTGACGGACAAAGCTAACTTCTGGCTAGTCACTTTGTACAACGCCTAATCTGCTGAAGGTTTCTGTTTGAGCTGGACTGTTTTTGAAAACTGTGTGTATTTGTTGGTGACTATCTGGTGGAGGAACACTCCCTCTTCTTGAAGTAAAGCACTTGGCAGACGGTTATCGTATTGCTGCCAAGTTCCTGATAACGAACCTTGTGTGTGCCAAGTAATTCTTTAACCCCCGGCTGGCTGTTTGTGTGTGTGTGGGGACAGGGACAGAACAGGAGCTGGAAGCAGAATCGGACAGTAAGGAGGTTGGGGAGGAACTTGGGCCAGTCCTGGGGGTTGGGGAAAGCTTGGATGAGGGCTCTGCATCAGAGGCAGAGAAGGGGCCAAGGCCATCTGAAAGTTATGTGCAACCTCCGGAATCTGACAGCAGGGAGGCAGAAGAACAGCGTGAGCCTGTTCCCAGTGTGCGCATGCGCAGAGCTGCCAGGAGACAGGAACAATTAAGAAAATAGGGTCGACTTGGGAGTAAGGCTTGGAGATGATTGGCCCCTCCCATAAGACATAAAAGAGAAGTGAGCTTTTGTAGAAAGCAATTAGTTCATCTGGCCGATTCAAGATTTGAAAGTTTTGTTTGTGACTCTGTACCAAGTTTGGCCTTGCCCTGCGTCTGGAAATTAGCTCTCTGGCAGCATTCCACAGGAGATA